GATTGCAAGTTGTTGTATACAGAACTGCAAGGTCATTTCAAAACATCAGTTGTTCTAAAATATCCCTACCTACACTATTGACTGGCACAGACTAGTTCCAAAAACAGCTACACTGGTCCCAAGTTCATTTCTAGGGACAAATCAAGATGCTTTTAAAACACATACGGCTTGGAAATGTTGGTATCTAGAACATTGGCTCCTCTGACATGAACCTGCATAATAGTTGAGATAATTTCCTATGGCCCTTGCCCAGTGACCCTGGACACTAAAGTATGAGACGATAAGGGGCCTTCTTGGTTGTAGTGCCCTAAATCTGGAACAGTCTCCCTGGGGACATTGGCCTGGAGCTAAGTCATATGACCTCTTTGTGTCGGGTGAAGAGCTTTTCCTATCCAGGCCTTTTAGTCTTAGTTATCCTGCTGCCAGTGCAACATTTTGTTTTCTTTCAATGATTTATTGCTGATGCTATTTTGTAGTTTTATTCTTTGATTTTCCAGTTTTATCAATAGCTATCATTTTGTGCTTTTGTTGACTATTTTAACTTTGTGTCATTGCAATCTGTAATGGAACAAACCAGGTTTGAACTGAAAAGCAGGGTACTAAGAACTGTATTCAGTGGTACCATTCCACTAGTGCAAAGCCTGAACCAATTGTTTTTATCTTGCATCAGTAAGATAATGGAGTACTTTAATTCCAGTTGCACAAGGTGTTATAACTTCTTTCTTTCTTTCTTTCTTTCTTTCTTTCTTTCTTTCTTTCTTTCTTAAAACATTTCTATGCTGCCCCATTCGCCGAAGCCTCGGGGCGGCTCACAACATAAAATTAAAATACTAGAAATAACAATATAGGCCAGCTACTGCTTGTATTAGTTGTGCTAGTTGCTCTGCTACTAGTTATGTATCCACCAGCTGAACTAGTCATCTCCTGTATATTATTCTGCTAGCATAACATTGGATATAAGCCTACCTTTATAGGAAAAACATGAATAAATATGACCAGTCCCCAGTGCCCACAACTGTGTCTAGTAGCTTACAGTTATCCTAGCTGATGCTACAATGTGCAAATACCACAGAATATCTGTAATCTGCTCTTGTACAGAGGCTCTGATGAGTGCACGGATGCTTCCCATGTGAAACGGCTGCTCCGTTCATTTTAGCAGAGGGAATCAACTCACAGATGCATTTATTTGTGGCTCTGGATCAACTCCACCATAAAAATAAGAATAAGCACATGCACAACACACTCCCGCGTATGTGTCAGGTATTATGAATCTCTTGGCAGTGATGACTGTATCAGTGACCTTTGACAAATGTACTAATCTGCATATTTAAGATTATACAAATATGACAAGCTGCAACTTAAAAAATGGAAAGACTGTAGGGTTTTTGAGAGATAGGAGGAAGGGTGCACAGCCAAACAGCAGCCCATATAAGCATAGCTGGAAGAAACCTCAAGCTTCCCATTAGCCCACTGAGTCATACTGGGAGACTATGCTCATGCTTACACTCACTGGAGGGAAGCAGTTTCAGTGATACCAACCTACAGTTCTCCCATTTAACAAGGTACATTGCATCTGCTTTTCTATTTGCCAATTACCTTGGATTTCTTCGACATGTGCTGGCTTTCTCTCTTTCCCCACAGAGAGAGACAGAGACAGACAGACACACACACACACACACACACACACACACACACACAGATTGATCCCTGAATAATTTGAAATTAAGCACTTCAGTGGTCTCTGATATGGAGAGAAGAAAACAGCACAATGTATGCAAAATTTGAATGTCAGGTGCTGAGTCATGCCAAGTGTTACTGGATTATAATGAAAGCTGTAGACAGACTCACAGCCTGAAACAATCTGCCTCATAGGGACCTTAAAACTCTATCTTGCTTCTGTTGTAAGTGACTGGGCAGCAACCATGAAACTAGTTATAGAAGCTCGTAAATAAAGACAGCCCTTTGAGAAATAAGATGCCTGGTCAACAATGCTTAGTTTGTTGCATTGTGGCGGTGAAGAAACGGGCTGCTCTGCTAGATGAGTTCAGGAAGCAGAGAGTGGGAACCAGGCCTGTAGCCAGTTTAAAGGTTTGGGGAGGGGTACCAAAAAGGTAGTACAGAGTTCATCCAGTTTTCAGGCCCTTTCAAAGACAACACTGTAAATTAATTTTAATTATTTGCTTGTAAAAAAAATTAGGGGGACAGAAAATTTAGGGGGTCAATCCTGGCAACAGGCCTGGTAGGAACCTCAGCATGGTGGAGGATATGAAGAGGTATCAGCAGTGCTGAAATGCTCTTACAAGGAATGACATCCAGCTCTGCTGTTATTTCCATTATAAGAATGGAGGTTAAAGCTGTCCGTGGCTGCTAGACCTGATGGGTATATATCATCTCTGATATTGGCAGCACTAAGCCTCTATATCAGTGGCTGAGAAAGACAAGCGCAAGGGTGCCGTTGCACTCATATCCCCCAGAAGGCTTCTGTAGTCAGCGGATTGGCGGCTAGGTGAACAGAACCGGGTGATTCGTCCGTAATTCAGTTAATTATAAGAAAAAATAATTATGAATGATTAATAACAATTATTTTACTGACAGCCAATGTGATATGATGGTTTGAGTGCTGGACTGGGGACTTGGGGAATCTGGGTTCTAGTCTCCATTCAACCATGGGGCTCCCTGGATGACTTCAGGCCAGTCATGGCCTCTCAGCCTTACCCCATAGAGTCGGTACCATGAGAAGGAGGTGGAGAGGAGGAAACCCCTGTACCCTACCTTGGGTTCTTTTCAAGAGGAAAAAATGAGGTACAAACGTAATGTAATCACCCTCATCGTCCTGAATCGAGAAATTTAGTTTCGGTGCATAAAATCAGCACAAAATGTTAGTAAGGCAGCTGTTAGATTGGTGTCTTTGATAGAGTGTGTCAGAAAAAGGAAGACTAAGGTCGTGTCCATGTAATTGTTTTAGTCTGTGTAGGATTTTTGTTATCCCACGCTGAACGTTCTCCTAAAGATTGATCTGGTTGTGTGCATGTTACTATCACATGTTAAAGTCACCGAGGATACGATTGGGGTAGGGTGGAGAAAATGCCAGTAGGAAATTGTGACGAGAGCTAGGTTCAGCAAGAATTGTAGTCAGATTTAATTAAGCTCTAAAGTCCATGCTGAGTGCTTTATCAGGAAAGTGACCCGATGCCTATATTAACATCGCAAACTTTTCAGTCAGAATCTCTGGCTCTTCTTATAATTTTAACGCAGCAAGTGATTGGTTTATATTAATGATAGCTGGGCATACTTCTTTATTTTCAGCTTGTCTATTTTTATAAAGATTACGACTTAGTAGTGATCTTTAAATACATGCTGCAGTAAGGTATATTGCGCCTGATTATCTTGTGAACCGATTAGCCAAGGTAGCACAGTTAGGGACTATGATCTCACTGTATGGACAAATAATGTGCAATGCGATATCATATTAGTTTATCAGTGAAATAGCTAACTAGGAGGCAAGGACGCCTATCCAATATGAAAGCATCTGGAGTAGTATTGCTGTCCAGTATTTTCCAGACTAAATCATAAAATAAATACATCACTGTACCAATCATGCAGTAACTGTGGTATAATTAGCCCATGTGGTGTAGCAGTTAGAATGCTGGGCTGGGACTGGGGAGACCCAGGTTTATAAGCCTCCACAAAGCCGTAAAGCTGATTGTTTGTCTTTGGGTCGGTTGCTAACTCTCTCCCTAACACTGTGTTGTTGTGAGGATAGTATGGAGGGGAAGAGGAGGAACAAGTGGGCTCCCTGGAGGAGAAGATGAGAGATAAAAGTGGCAACCAAAGAAACATGTAATTGAGTTATAAGGAAATAATATTGACCACAGACCATTTGAAAGATGATGGTACTCAGCTTTAAAATGAAAGCTACTGTATAAAACTTCTGTGAGTTTGCTGCTGGATCTAAGAGCTGTTCAAAACCATTGATCATGAATTGTGCAAAAAGAAAGCACTAGCAAACAAACTTTGAAACCATAGGAGAGATTTAGATACTGATACAGACCTCTCTCTCTCTCTCTCATTCTCTCTCTCTCTCTCTCTCTCTCTCTCTCACACACACACACACACACACACTACTTCTTCTTCACCCCAGGTCTGTGAATATGCTGATCACCCCGGCCAGTGTCATTTCAACATCACGTCACTCTTTCAGTTCCCAGTCAAATCCCCAAAAGATTTGAGTTGGATTTATACAGAATATTAAATGCTACCTCTATTGCCTTATTTTGTTATGATAAAAGCATTAAATATTAAGTTAAGCTATAACTTGAGTTGGCATGGAAATGACAGCTGCTTTTTAAAAAATTTAATCACTCAAGAATGTAAAGTCCCAGAATATGCATATCTACACACACACACACACACACACACACACACACACACACACATTTGGTTTTTCAAGCAGTGGCTGTTCACTTCAATGGGTTTGCTCAGGAATCACACCATGATAGATTGCAACTCGGATCAAAGTTTACTTACAACAAAATGGGATTTGGATTGCAAATGTAATTGCACTTCTGGGAGCACGGGAAGATTAGGGTGGAATGGCTTTTTCTTCTTTGACACCCAAGTGCAACTGCTCGAAGAACAGTAGGATTAAGAGCTGGAAAGTCTGTCCACATTGAGTTCAGTGGGCAGCGTTTGCATGTGCAGAACATGCTTAATCCAAAGCAGCTGGATGTCAGCACAGGCTCCCTCAACCCCCGACAGAAACATACAGGCGTTTTATGAGCAGGCATGCAATTCAACTGAGATGTACTTCCAAGTATCGCCGTGGCATTTTTGTTGATGGCAACTAAAAATGAAATGTGACATCCCTATGCTTTCTGCCATACTGCAAGAGTTCCTACAAGTGGCATGCAGATTCAGATCTCGAGAGAAACCTCTCGCTGCCCACAAAGAAGTGATCCCTCCCCCCAGAAAGCACCCAGACCCTTACCAAACCCACTTACTTTTCCTAGTGTTCAGAGTGCACCAGCGCCAATTAGAAAACTGCAGCCTCTCTGCGAGGGAGCGATCCTTATAGTCCTGGCCACGCAGACTTTCCCCTTGGTTTTCTTCGCGAGACAAAGTTCCCAGTCCCCTGAAAATGCCTTCTAGTGGAGACCAGCTCCACTGAAATGCGCACCTCTCCCTTCTCTAAAGCAAGCCGATGGGGACAGCTGATTTTATTTTAGCCCTGTATGCACAACATGGCACTTGGCACCTATTTTTAGGGAGTGAGGCCTGCAGAGCCTGTGCCTGAGTCAACTGCTTGTTCTAGGAACCTGTTAGTAAAGGCCATCTTATAGTGTCCTTTTGTCATATCTCTGTGCGTGGCATAAGCACTTGCTCAGTCAATCAAACTTTCACTTACCTAAGGCTCTATTCATTTCTTAAGATTTTTTTTTTAAATGAGCAACTAAGACTATTCCGTAATCTCTCTTGCCCCTCTCTCCCTTTGGGGGGGGGGAGAGAGAGAGAGAGGCCACCGTTCAATATTTTATTCCATTCCCTTTAACCCTAAACACTAAGGATACAATCCAATTAAAGTTTAGACAGGAAAAAAGTCCAACTCCCAGCATGCCTGAGCCAGCCACTTTTTTCTGCCTTAACTTGCATGGGATGATCGTGCCCTATTTTGTGAGGATTTTTTAAACTTTAAAATAAGAATGCCGTTTTGATAAAGTAGTACACAGAGGTATTGAGTTGCACACGAAAAACAGAGACTGGAAAATCAAATTCGCCTTTAGGTGAAGAGGAGGCTGAGGGTTTCGTTTTTAATTTTAGCCAGTGGTTGAACTCAAAGCTTGCTTTAAGCACGAAGCTGACAGTTGCTACTTGGGACGCAGCCGTGGAGAAATCGCATGCAGGGTGCATTTTGCCCTCACCACCTCACAGTGGCCATGCCTCAGCCATGTGTTTCCCCAGTCAGCCAGGCCTTTTTCAGCCATCCAGAGGAAGCCAGGATCAGGAAAAAATGAAGATACCCGTGCAGATGAGTTGGGTGGAAGAACTTGGGTGAAAGTGTGTGTGTGTGTGTGTGTGTGTGGGTGGAGGGGGAGGTAAAGGAGTTAGTGTGTTGCTTATTTAACTTCAGTGAAGTGTCCAAACTGCTCATTAATGCCTGGTACTTATTGCTTCCTACAGCTTCTTACCTTGGTGACAGTGTAATGCTACTTTTGTTTTCTTGTCTCCCACGAAGCAGCAGAAAATCACCCGCACAGTTTCCTGGGGGATGAATGAACCCCCCAAAGTAAAGGTGGATTTTTGAACTACTTTTGACTTAGGTGGAGCTAGTGAAGTCATAGGAATGTTGCACATACCTGGGTTGTCACCAGATTTTGCCTTAAGTGAAATTATACATGTATTGGGATGCTCTTTATAAGTGAATCAAAATACTTTCTATAAGACTAGGAACATTTTTTGAATAGTAGTGTTCTGGCAATGGTTCAGCACATACTTACAGGTATCTCTTCTAATTAAGAAGACATGACATCTCTGTATGTACGTTTGTATGTATGTTTGTTTTTAAAATGTAACCACCGAGGAGCGTGGACATTTTCTATTTCCATTCCAATGATGATTTTATGCATTACAATAAAACAAGATCATGGGTTCCAGGACTGTATTTAGAAGGGTGCATTTAATTTTAGGGCTATTTCATTCATGACATTTCCCTTGCACAGACACAAAGGCAGAAAACATAAAATCCTACAACCTGTGCAAAATCATGCCTCCTTCCCCAATAGTGTGTTTCAGAGACAGGTACATGCAACGAAGTACGTGTTCTCACAACCTTCAGAAAGGATAATAACAGAGTACGCATTTCCTCCCTTAAATCCACATGTCTAACCATGCATAGCTCTCAATTATAGATATGTTTATAATAGATATCAATAAGGCTAATGAAGAAACATAAGAAGGGCCTTGCTGGATCCTGCCAAAGGTTCAGCTGATGCAACCGTCTCTTCACAGAGTGGCCAACCAGTCACCTGCAGAAACCCCAAAAGTGGGATAAGAGCACAATAGCACCCTTGCCCTTGTCTTCCTCAGCAGCTGATACACAGAGGTAGCAGTGCCTCTAATCCTGGAGCTCGTGGTTAACCCTCATGACTAGTAGCCACTGACAGTCTTACCCTCCCTGATTGTCTCTAATCCCCTTCCGAAGCCATCAAATGAGTGGCCATTGCTACATCTTGTGATAGAAAATTGCATGGGTTAACTATATGGTGTGCAAAGAAGCGCGCCCTTTATTGGTACTGACTCCCCCACCATGGGATGACCTTGGGCTATAGTATTATGAAAGAAGAAGGTGTTTTTCTATTCATGTTTTCCACGCCATGCCTAAGTTGATATGCTTCCTTTATGTTTCTTTTGAATCATCTTTTTTCTAGACTTAACAGTCCCATGAGACCCTACTGTTTCCCCTCTGCCTCTCCCACAGCTTAGTTTGAGAAGATTTGCTGCGGGTGAACCAGAACTGAAACAGGAGGAGCAGCTAGAAAGGTGGGCAGAAGTTCCAGCCTCTTTCAAGGAATGTGTTTTCTGTGTATACCTTCTCCCAGCATTGCCTCCACTCGGTGTTTGCCTGAAGCACGTAAGCCTGAAGTATGGAGAGGCAATGATCCACGTTGACAGAGTGCATGGTGCCTGATGGCACTGTTTTCACAAATTTATGGAGAGGACAGCTGCAATTATCATGTGAGTATTGTGTTCTGGGTGTGAGAAAAAACTACCACCCTTGGTCTACTGTCCTTTTAGCTAAGATTTGTATTTGTTGATAACTGTACCCAAGATGATGGAACAGACCCAGATGGTAACTGGGTGATAAATCTGTCAATTTCAGAATTTAAGCCCAGTGAGATAAAGTAATCTGGAAAGTACACCTCTATCTTTTTTGTACAAATAAAATGTCAGGCAGGAGGGTTTTTAAAAAAATCCTAATCTTATTTACAAACACGACAAGGAGAAAGCACTGCATGCTGACATCAGCTCTCAAAATGCTTGTCAGAGTCAAAGAAATACAAGCCGCTGAATATTGCTGAAATAAATTCCCTGCAATGGGTGTACTGAATCCAAGTCCTCTGGCCCACACAAAGCAGTATAAATGAGCAACCACTCTGGAGTGACATTGTTATAAAACCGGCATAAGTGCAAGGTGAACTCCATCTATGACTATTTACATTTTTCAAATTATGTTAACCCAACAGGCACTACTAGTTCTTGCCGACGCTGTTTGTCATTTACACTTTATGTACTCTAAACAGTCATAATTTCAAGGTCAATGGAAATCATGCTCCTACATAACTTAGAGTGGTTTTCCTCTTCCAAATCTAAACCTTCAGTTGCTCTCAAAGAGTAGAGGTAACAGCCTCCCTCTCTTGCCTTTAACTAGATGAGAGTGTTCTATTCCTATTTTAGCTTAATTTTCTGGACTCAAATGCATTATCTTCCTCAGCCGTGATTCCGGTTAACAGTGAACAAGATTAGCCAGGCGTAATGACTAATTAACAGTTGCTGACAGCAATTAAATTGTCTACATTACAGAGCAATCCTATTGTCCTGGCATTCCAAGCAATCACTCTGCTGCCACCACCATTACCACCAAAATGTCGTGCTCCTATGTTCCAAGCCCCAACTACAAGATCAATACAATGGCTGTAGAAACTGAATCAAATGCATCAACATTGATAATCAATCCGGCAGCACTGGTGGAATCCCTGCCACTCAGTCATCCATCCCACTGAGTAGGACACCCTGGTACGTGTGCATAGAAGGCATCACTAAGTGTATGGTGACACCTGGAGGTATCACCCAATCCAGCACACACACTGTCTGCACACACAACTCACACGCAGGCAGCTAGGGACAGAGTGCAGTGCCCTTCTCTGTGCAATTTGTCCTAATGGGCTCTTGAGACTTTTAAGTTCTATTGTAAGAAATGTGATTCTACACAGCCAATTTACGTAACTCACTATGTGTGAAAGCCGGACAGAGAGGAAAGCTCACAGGGAGAAGACGGATGCATTGGAAACATATGCTCAATGACAGAAAGATGAACAAGCGAGTCCTAGATCAAGTCAAGCCAACTTTCCCTGGAAACAACAAAGACAATACTGAGGCTGTCATTCCTTGGGAACGTTATGAGAAGGCAGGACTCCCTGGAGAAGACAATTGTGCCAGGGACAGTCAAAGGTGGAAGAAGAAAAGGAAGACCAAAGAAGAGATGGATTGACTCCGTAAAGGAAGCCACAGCCTGGGATTTACAATAGCTGGGCAGGGCTGTCATGGACAGGAAATTTTGGAAGGCTTTCATTTGTAGGGTCACCATAAGTCAGAGACAGCTTGATGGCACACGACAACAACCAAATTTACATAACGCTGTGGACACAGCACATTTGCTTTGTGGCCTCTGTGCCAGGACCTGGCACTGAGCAAGGAAGAGAGGCACAAGTGAGAATTTAGCAAGTGCATGGCAGGCCTGCAGGTTCCATGGAAAGAAATGGCAATGCAGCTTCAGGGAGGCGTGAGATTACCATCCACAACTTGCTTTTGGGGATCTCGCTAGCCAGGCCCAGGGGCAGGGGCAGCACTACTGAGAAGTCACTGGTTGTTGGGGGGGGGGCAGAAGGGCACTCTGGGGCCACTGCTGAAGCAGCCCCCTGCCTGCTCCTCTGCCTGTGTTGGTAGGCCGCCTTTTCAGCAGTAGCAGTAGCCTGTGCAGATGCAGGCAATCGCCTCCTTCTCTGGGTGGGTGGGCTACTGTGGCAGCAGCCTTATCATCTGGAAGAAGGGAATCAAGCACCTGTGGGCTCCCTTCTTCCGGCTAATGGTGCTACTGCTGCAGGAGCCCTCCTGGAAGAAGGTGAGGGTGGGAAGGAGGAGCCTGAAGGCAGCTGCGTGAGCACTGCGGGTTGAGTCCATTCTGTGGTGGAGAAGGCTGGCGGCAGCCGCAGGAGGGCCTCCGAGGGTGGTGTGGGAACACTTATTTGGGGGCTGGTCAGCGCTAAGAACACGGGTTGCAACATGCTGAGGACCCCTTCAGTCCCTGTGCCAGCCTCGTAGCAGGCAGCAGCACATTCCACATGAGAACTGGGAGGGGCATTAGCCATAACACGCATCCAGGCCGTTCTATAGGCATTGCTGTTAAAATACATCCCTGCTATGCCACCTTCTCCACCCACACTTTCTGCACTGTCAAGATCAGCGTCCACTGTTTCCTGTGACAGGACAT